TTCATCCCCCATTGTCTCAGCTACCCATCTTAATGAGTCCCCTTCTCCAAACCAATGCTCAGCAGCTACAGGAGAAGAGGGGTGCCTTTGGAATCCCAAATGTGGGCTTGTTCTCTCTCATCGAGGAATCTCAGTTTGTTTTTATGCAGGTTTCCTGTTTCGGAGGAACCATTGTGAAGCTGGCGGTCTTGGAGTGACAATAAGAATAGGTGGAAGCGTGATTGATTAATTTGAAGCTGTCCTTTGCTTTTCATTTCCTGTTCTGAATGAGTAGCAACAACAGCAACGTGGGAAGGAACGCAAGTTGAAATTCTCCAAATAAAAAAGAGAGGGGGAATAATCTACTGGCAGAGGTTTGCCATTTAGGCTCCTTCTGTTTCCCTCCCTCCCTCCCTCCTGCTTCAATCTCTTAGACATTGGCAGCATCTTAAGTTATGAATCAATCTCCATCCAGATCTTGTCACATCACAGGGATACATTCATCAGTCAATTTCATCAAACTTTGTCCAAGTTTGCAAAAGCTTTGCATGCAGATTTTTCTGAAGCTGCATGATTTTTTCCCCTACAAAACTTTCACCCAGTGGTTTTTATTGTCCATCCTCAGATCAATCCATTTTCTTCTTTCTCTCGTTTTTTCTCTAGGCTGGCCTGGTATTAAACTTGTGAGCCTCACCATCACTTTCCAAAACATGGAATTATGACTTTCCTCGGATGGACTTTGATAGAGGAAGACATTGAAAAGAATCCAAGTTGCTGTCCTATTAGCCATAAGCTCCCCCTTCTCAGGGAACTACATTCTATGTATTAAACACAACACTTTCTCTGATTTGTTTATAAGAGATGACAATGCCTGGTTGACCTTGACTGGGATAGCTTACTATCAGGAAACAGCAATGAGGAAGTTAGAAAAAAAAATATTCCAAACAAGGCAGTGACAATCTCTCTATTGCTGCTACCTTGTGGTAACTATGGTTAGGAGCTCAGCTTGAATGGAACCAGAGTTGACTTGTAATCTCCAGCCCATTAGTTGTGCTGGCAAGTCACGGAGCTATGACAGAAGAAAAAAAAAAATCTACTTTTTTACTTTACACCAACTACACTGCATGCATTTTTCTCATTCCTCCAAACCCTTTTTTTAATCCTTCCATTAAAAAGCAGAACTGGGCAGAATTAGGAGGAGGGGGAAGAGGAGGAAGAAGAAGAGGAGGAGGAGGAGGAGGAGAAGAAGAAGAAGAAGAAGAAGAAGAAGAAGAAGAAGAAGAAGAAGAAGAAGAAGAAGAAGAAGAAGAAGAAGAAGGAAAGAAAAAGAAAGGAGGAGGAGAGGAGGGGAAGAAGGAAGAAAGAATAAAGGGAAGAAGAGGAAGAAGAAAAAAGAAGAAGGTGGCAAAGGGAGAACAATATACAGACTCAATATGGATAAAGAAGATTTGAGAGGATTGAAAAGGAGATGGCTTGTTTTCCTCTTCAAAGGAATTGGTGCCAACCTGGCAGACATATAGGGAGGAACAAGAGAGGATGAATGTCATATACTGATCGATCTATTCTATCTCCAAATGGGAGTAGCAACCTCCCTGATTTTCCCCTGGCTTTTAGAATTATGGGTAAAACTGAAGTCAAGTAAAGGGTCAATGGGGAATTTCCAGGGTTGGCAGTTACATGACATGTCATGGGTATTTTTTTTTTAAATCGACTCAAGGGAATGACACAAAGCACAACAACTTTTGCATTGCTAGTCCTTTTTGAACATCTGTGCCGATGGATAGCCGCCGTTGACATAGGTGGAGAGGCAACTCCAACACGCAAATATACTAACGAGGGTCCAAAGATTATCCGAGGAGTCCAGAGATGTCTACGTTTCCAACCAGGAGCTGTGTTAACTATTCTTTTCTCCCAGAGTCAAGAAACAAAGCTTTTTTTCGTGCAAAAATTTGGTCTAATGCTGAAGGTACCAGAGTACAAACCAGGAAACTGTAAGTTCTAGTTCTCCTGCCTGAGATACAAAAGACGGCTGGGTGAGTTTCTGTTAGAGTCCCTCTTTCTCAGCCCAACTTGCCTGAGAGGGCTGTTGTTGTTGTTGTGGGGGAAAACAGGAGGAAGAAAGAGGATTAGGGATGTTCACTGCCTTGAGTTAATAAAGTAATAAAGGCTGGATTAAAAAGAAGTCTAAAAAGAGAAATGTTCCCAACATTGTAGAGTCTTTGTGCTGCAGATGGTTCCATTATTGTTTTATTGTCTACCTGTAAGCTGTTAAGAGGTGCCTGGTTGTAATAGAGCATAAGAAAAAAGAAGAGAAGAGAAGAGAAGAGAAAAGAAGAGAAGAAAAAAAGAGGGAGGGAGGGAGGGAGGGAAAAAGAGGAGAATCTATCAGGGAGAATTTTCTGTTAAAATTGTCTTCTTTATGGATCACTTACTTACAAATCAGACAGGTTTTTCTTTCTCTTTTTAAATGCAGGGAAGCACAGACAAAATACACATGCTTGCACCCTCAACCCCCACTGCAGAGGTGCTTTAATTGATGCTTTGTGGCCTCCATCCACTCCTCATGCACCAAAGGAGTGTGCAGGGGCCGTGCCCTCCTTAGGCCATTCAAACAGCACAGGCTGCTCTCTCTCTCTCTCTCTCTCTCTCTCTCTCTCTCAATCTCTCTCTCTCTCTCTCTCTGTGCGTGTGTGTGTGTGTGTGTGTGTGTGAGCATTCCTATGCAGTTGCATGAAAACCAGCCTTTGGGTTTGCCATATGCAGAAGGGAGAAATTTCTAGCAAACCAAAAGGTCAGCGACTGAGTCTCTGGCCACCCACGCATCGGATCAGATGCTGCCGCAGCTTCTTCGTTCAGCCTGTTTAGAGATCAGCAATTCTGGGGCTGGCTGTTGGATTGGCACTCCCCCCCCCACAACACTCTCCCCCCCCCCCCGTGAAGGCTCCTCGTCCAGCCCGGCTTGGTAATTGTGATGCATTGGAGGTGAGGCGCAAGCAAAGCAAAGCATTGGAACGGAACCGAATGAGGAATTCTTCCAATTAGCCATCTTGGCAGGAGAAGACAGCCATTTCCTTAGGAGCGTTCAACAGCTGGGGTCACCCCTGAAATCTTTTATTTATTAGCTTGCTTTTCTGCACGACAACGAGGTTATGGCAGGAGAGCAAGCTCTACACCTCCCTGTTTGGGTGGTTGAGGTCAACTCTTCTGGCCAAGAATTGTTGGGATGATCACAAGCAAGACCTGAAGGTAGCCTTAGTCCCTTCCTTCAGGGTCTGCTTCAAAATTCAGGGCTCACATCACTCATTTGAATGATGGTGAGATTCTCGTGCTGCTTCTGAGGAACATCTGAATACCACAGCCAAAGGCAGGATCCAAAACATTTTTCTGAACTTCATCACTCGGTGGCCCTGATTGTATTTCCCTTATGTCGGATTCACGTGTGCGCCTTAGCCAATCCAAGGTCTTATTTTTACCCCTAAAGCTAATTTGAAGCCAGGTTCTTGGAGACAACATCTGCTCTCCAATGATCCCGTTGGTTATTTCTTTTGAGGTCTCCCTCTAAAGAGAGACAGGCTGGATGGGGAATATTAATTTTATTTTATTTTATTTTTTTCTCTACTTATGCATTAGAGCTTAGTCTGCCTTTTGTTCAGGGACTGGCCCAAAATCACCCAGGGAATTCAGTAGCTAAAGATAGTCTAGGTTTCCTTGAGGCTAGTCCAACACTTTAACTCTACGACAGCAGCTTTCATATTTACTTGTAATTTAATGCTAGCTTCTTCTCCAGAAATGAAAAGATGCCATGAATAATTCATCCCAAACCTGCCCGGTCTTCTTGATAACTCTGCAAGCTAGATTGGGGTGGACAATGCTGAAGAGCCAATGGTCAGCCAGGCATGGCCGAGTGGGCGATGAAAACATGAGCAGCAAACATTAACCAAACTCCCTTTCTTAAACAGACATTTACAACATCAAGATTTATTTGCTTCAGGCTTTAACCCTTCCTGGTTTTCTTTTCTAGAATTCACCCACAAAATTAATTAATAAATTACATATCTGAAGAAAGGCAACCCCTTCCTTCCTTCCTTCCTTCCTTCCTTCCTTCCTTCCTTCCTTCCTTCCTTCCTTCCTTCCTTCCTTCCTTCCTTCCTTCCTTCCTTTCTACCTTTTCCTCCATCATCAAGCAAAAATGATTGAATTTTCTTTATTAAACATGTAGAAGAAAGATCAGAAGTCAAATACCACACAAAATATCCTCTCAACATCAGATCGGAAGCAAACCACGAATCTACTTATTGCGAGTCTGGATGGAGCCTGTCAGAGCTTTATCAGACAAATCTCTTTAATATCTCCCGGCCTTCTTCTGTCCACTGCAGATGCTTATTTCAGTCATAACTCACAGCCACAGAGAAGTGGAAATAATATTCGTATCAACTTATGACATTTTCCTGCTTAGTTACCTTTAGACTGCCACAGTTCAGCCATGGTGAGGGATTCAACATTAATTCAATAGTCTTTTGCATTCTCCAGATAAATAGACTTGAATAAACTTAGGCATGCTCTAAATAAATTTAGGCGTGCTCTAAATCTTCCAAAAGAAATATGGAATTTAGAACGTGGAACATACAATCCTAGGGCTTGCAAGAGACCTTGGAGGTCTTCTAGTCCATCCCCGTGCTCAAGGCAGGAGACCTTATAGCATCCTGGTCAAATGGTTGTCCAATTTCTACAGGTAGTCCTCAACTTACAATTCAAAGTTACAACAGCATTGAAAAAAAGAACCTATAACCATTGCCGCATCTCCGTGGTCACGTGATGAAAATTCACACCCTCGGCAACTGACTCTTATTTATGACGGTTGCATGTCCTGGATTTTGTGACCTTTTGACAAGCAAAGTCAGGGGGGAAGCCAGAGTCATTAACGACCATGTCACCAGCTTAGAAATCTGGGGGTCATAAGTCGAGGGTCCAATGCAAGGCAGACCACCCAGCTGAAAAGATAAAAAAGAATGGACACTTACTGATGTGTACAAGTAGCCTTCACTGTTCATCGCTAAATACAGCTTTGTCTGAACCCCTTGGATAGCCACCACTCGTAAGCCCACAGGGATGAGGTTGAACAAAGCTAGGAGAAAAATGAAAAGAAAAAAAAAAGTTAGTCCTTCCATCTGAATTGCGGAAACCAAATCAGGTTTTCCCATAAATGGGAGAAGCTGTAATGTCAGTATAAGAGAGAGAGAGAAAAAAAGGATATGTTTTGGGTGTGCGTGCAAAGTTCACAGAATTAAAAAAAAAAAAATCAACTGAGAAGAATCTCCTTGGGAATTTAACCAGAATGTTTCTTGATCAACTTGATTCTTGAATAAGTCTTGTGCTTCCTAACTCATTGGTGGGCTTCCAGGATATTTTGGACTACAACTCCCAATGTCCTCAGCCGATGCTCCCAGGAGAACACAAGAGTAGCAGATAGCAGATAGTTTTATTTTCCCAAACCATCTACAATTTTTCAACTCCACCAACCCCGAGCTATCAGCAGAAGGGAGAGGATGAAGTCACCCATACAATGTTAGCAACAAGTGACCATCTTCTTCCACTCTTTGGAGATCCAATCTGTTCCCTAAATTAATTAATTATCCCAAGTACAGAGAGCAGCCCCAGAAGGCTAGAATAGGGGCAGGACAATCCTTCCCATTTTTGCTACATCAAAAAAGGGACATCTACACCAACAGTGGAATTTCAAAGAGTCCCAGGAAAATAGGAGAGAAAGAAAATGTCTGAAGCATTTGTTTTGCAGAAGAGATGGCCATCTTATCTCTGTTCTGAATTTTAGAACCTGGGAAGCAGACAGTTCTATTTGAAGCCGGGTATTACTTGGGCGAGAATGATAAGCTCAGCTTTTTGAAACTGTAAATGAGGGCTTGCATCAGAGGAGAAGAAATGAAATAGTTTCCTAATCTGTGCACCACCACACTCAAAAGGTTATTTGCCCCCAATTCATACACATCCTATTTACTGAAATACACTAACGCTCTGTTGCACACCGTAACACTGTGGAAGGGGAAGGCAGACCATTGGAACTGAACCTCAAGATTTATGGAAACAAAACGGCCGTCAGGATTAGTTGCCATCACCACCACATAAGTGGGAGCATTTAATTCTCCTTATTCTGAAATGAGAATAGCAGCATGGTTTTAAGTCAGGTAAAACTGGAATGGGAAAGGAACCTTTCCTGATCAGATCATCAAAAACCCAACTCAAAAGAAAATGACGATGAATACATTCATATATATGCATGGAGATACCATCTGGGCCGGTTTTGCAGAAAGCAGAAGTACCTCTGCAGTTTTATCTGGTGTCTAAGTGTTTCTCTTCGGCAGGTGGAACAGCAAACATGAACACAGCAATGACGTCACAGCTAAATGAGCCTAGCCTTTGAAAAACACCCATGCATATGGACTAGCAGGCTGTGCAAACAAACCAAACAGGCTCTTTTATGTCTAACAATATACTCACTATATGTGCTTTCTTCCTCTTTCGTTCCGTCAATGGTTCCATCTGCTTGCAACTGCAAATGATATCCTTGCCGACTGTAAAGTTTTGTGATGATGCCTTTCAGCTGTGGTTCTGTAGAGCAAAACAAACAAGCAGAAAAGGTTAGAAATCTGAGTCCATTGCTGTATTCATGTTGGGTTCAAGCAGACCAAAAGCTGTGCCTCATTTTTTTTCCCCAAGGAGAAAGAAATGGGATTAGAAACTTTCCTATGATTTGAGATAGAGATAGATAGATAGATAGATAGATGATAGATATATAGAAGAGAGAGAGAGAGAGAGAGAGAGAGAGAGAGAGAGAGAGAGAGAGAGAGAGAGATTAAATCAGCACCTTGGACAGCATCTGTGGATGACATTAAATCCTGAACAACTTCATAGAGAATCAAAATTCCAACATATTACATGGCCGAAGGAGCAAAGACTGGATTTCTATTAAGATTAGAAAGATACCAGCTAGAAGGAAACTTTTATTTTTTTAACGATCTGAGATTTATTAAGAAAGGAACAGGGAAAGGCTTGCTAAAATGGTTGCTGGTGGATCACGTACGGCGTGGCAGCCTATGAATATGTGACAGCACAGACAGGTGTTTGTCTGAGGCATAGAGCATTGTATGAATCTGACCATTTAGGTTAATAACCTTTGTTTATAGAGCAGCTGTGAACCCAGCTAATTGTAGCCCAGGCGATAAAATCTTAAGAACCACTACAACTTTAGTAAGGTTAGTCATGTCCAAAAACTCAAGGGCAGTGACTTCAAAGAATAAAGATTTTAAGATTGCCCACAAAAAAATATGATTGTTACTAATTCTCGGGAAACATCCTAATCTTTTAAATATGTCTTTGGCTGTTGGCCACATTCATCTTAGAGTCTCAACATTTCCACGTAAACTTCCCCAAGCTGGGGAAATTCATCCATACTCCAATATTTGCATGGTCCTTCTAACACGGAAGCCACTTAATAGCACAGCCTTCAAGCCTCTCAGCTCCACTTCATACACCATGGATGTTAATTCTGCTGGAACAAGTGTCTGAGGTTAAAGGCAGGTCCTCATTGAACCAAATCCATGGCAATAACCATCTTGGAGGACGGAAACCAAAGTTTAGACCACCCTCATGTAAAAACATCAAAGGAAATCTCCTTCCAGAAAGTAACAAGACGTGCATCATAGTTAGTTTGACATGAGCATAAGGGTTTGTCTTAGATCGAAACTTGAGCCCAGTTAAGAAAGTAGAAGCCAACTCCAGAGAAAAAGAATGGCAGGTCCCTGAAATTAATCTTCTCCCATGTCACCTAAGCAAGGTCTGAGCAGACACAACCTGGTTGTGTGAATGCTGCACACTGACCAAGCGATCCCGTTCATCTGATTTCCACCCAGAGCACAGGCAGTCCCCGAATTATCACACTTCCTTTAGTGACCATTCAAAGTTTACAACATCCACTGCAAAAAACCACTGGTGGCTGCTTTTCACCCTTCTGACCGTTGCAGCATCCCCAAGGTCATGTGATTTATATTGGGATGCTTCACATTTATGACCGGTCGCAGTGTCTCCCGGGTTCACGTGATTTCCCCTTTTGCGACCTTCTGACCAGCAAAAATCAAGGGGGGGGAGCCAGTTTCACTTAACAACCATGTTACTAAATTGACAACTGCAGTGATTCCCTTAAAAACGGGGCAAAATTCATTTAACAAATGTCTCATTTAGTATCGGAAATTTTGGGCTCCATTGTCGTAAGTTTGCCTATCGAACTTATTTATGACCTTTCTCGCCGCAGTCTGTAAGGGAATCACTGCAGTTGTCAAGTTAGTAACACGGTTGTTAAGTGAAACGGACTCCCCTCCCCTTGACTTTTGCTGGTCTGAAGATCGCAGAAGGGGGATCACATAGCCACGGAACACTGCGACCGGTCACGAATGTGAGTCAGTATATTTGAGGAAGGGGACAGGATTAAGACATAAATATCTAGAAGTAAGTTGGTTTGAGGTGGGATGCGGTTTGGGGGGAAATGGGCGGGCAAGAGCGAATGTGGTGTGTATCAATTTGTTTTATTTTTTATCTGAAGTATTTGTAAGATTGTTATGTATTGTAAAATTGAAAATAAAAATTTTTACAAAAAAAAGACATAAATATCTATGATAGAGGTACAAAGTGTGGGTCCCCCAGTTACCAAGAGCCATAAAAGACCCCCGCCCTGCCAAGACTCCCAAAAGTTGTTCTGACGGACCGAAAGCTCAAATAATAAAATACACGCCAGGGATGTAACTACATCACACCTATTCAGTCGCAATCCACCTAAAATGACAATGAATTGACAACTAATCTGCTTATCCAAGGAGATTCTTAGCCCTCCAGGTTAGGGTGGCCCAAAAGGTGCTTTTTCCAAAAGACAACTGGACTTCCTTGGTCTCTTTTTTTCCCCCTTGAAAACATTTCACTTCTCATCCAAGAAGCTTCTTCCGTTCTGATTGACTGGTGGGGAATGGAAAGATTTGCGCTCTTTGCAGTCATCTTTGCAGAATATAAATCCTTCCGTTCCCCACCAGTCATTTAGAGCTAAAGAAGCTTCTTGGATGAGAAGCAAAATATTTTTGAAGAAAGAAAGTCCAGTTGCCTTTTTTGGGGGGGGGGAGAGAAAAAAAACCCCTTTCAGGCAATGAATCTGGTTCTTCACCTGGAAGTTAGGTCTACTATTCCAAGTAGGGCTGTTCCACTGGAAAGTAAAAGTTGTGTATCCCTCAGTTAAGTGGCAAACAGGGTTTTAAACACACTTGCATTACATAGCTGTTCTCCTTGGAGGGCAGCTCTGTAAGCAGATCCAGGTGCCTGTGTTCCCTGGATAGCAAATTTCGTTGCTGCGTAACAATTAAAACAGCCTGTAGTTGCCACCAAATCTAGAACTGAGTCCTCTGAGTGTGCAGGCTGATGGGGGGGGGGCAGACCTAAAGGAAGACCAGATTTTGTTCCTTGAACCAATAAAGCCAGTTTATTTATTTTATTTTTAAGCATGCGTGGACAATGCTTTTGTTTGCAGATCACACATGGACAGGTGAGAGGCGTCTGTCTCTGCGTGTATCGGCATATGATTGCATACCAATCAATCAATCGATCGATCAATCCATCCTAGGGTCTTGTTTATTTTTGACCAATCTGGAATCGCAAATCATTGAATATGCAAAGCCACATCATTTTTTTTTCCAGATGTTTCTTTCCTCTTAGGAAGATTTCGGAAATGTATCTGTTAGGCTGCTCCTTCTTTAGAAGAAAAAGGCTGATTTACACGGAAGAGCTTTTGTGGGTAAAGCTGCTCCCCTTGTTTTTCTAGCTTTTATATTTTAATCATGCAATAGGGTTGGGTGAGGACGACCAAGGTTTTACTCTTGTTAAAGCAGAGAATGTTGAAATCTTCTGAAAAAATTGGTGATTTCCTTGGTAAATCACCTTGTTCCCACCCCAAATATAAAAGCAAGGCATTTTTAATTTTTCTTCTTCTTTTTATAGGCTTCGTCTTCCACCAAATGAAATTACTTTGTGAACAGCAGACGAGGGAAGAAGACGGTTGAGAATCAGAAAGAGAACTATGTATTTCTTTTTAAAATTTTAATACCATATAAAACCACCAACCGGAGGGGTTGAAGTTCTTTCTGTTCTACTTGTCCACTTGTTTTTAAACCCTGCACATGTTTGAAATGCGATGCAAACCATCTCTCCCTAATTTTCTTGCTGAATTCTGAAGAACAAAGAAGAGGAAACTTGGGTAGATTGTTTCCACATAGGACATTGGTCAATGTTGCTATTAAGTCTGGCATTTGGGAAAATGGATATATGCAAAGTCAACACCAGTGCCAACCTAAGTTTCCCAGTACAAGGCACAATTATATACTGTGTGTTGCAAAATCATCACACAAATAATATCACAGTGACACATGGTATTATCCCCCTCCTGTTGAGCATCAGCTTCAAGGCAGTTTTAAAGCTCGCTTGTGAGATATAACACCAACAGTGATCTCCTGGTTGAGTGTTCCTGGTGTTCTGAACACCAAGTTCACTGTTCCTGCACATGAGTTCCATGGATCATCTCATCCACAGATTTGGCTCCTCTTAGCCCAAGACTCTGGTCCCGAAGGAGAAGACTTCTTAAGAGGTTCCCTGTGATTCAGATCCTAGAAGGCACTGCTTTTGCAACATGTAAGCATTCCAGTTGACTCCCACCTTCTTCAACCTCTGGTTTCTCCCTCCAAGAGGTGATCTGGAGAAGCCACTGAAGGTCTCACCTCCTCTCTTGCTCCTGCAGCTCAGGATAGACCATCTCCTTGCCTCATTCACGACTGAAAGGAAAAGGTCATTTGGCGGAAGAGCCTTCCACCCAAGGGACTGCTGGCCCGCTTTTTCCAAGAACTTAGCTTCCTAAGACCCCCAGGGGAGGGAGTTGCTTTCCCTCAAGATATGCTGGTGGCTTTCTTGGCAAGAGCCCTCATCCATCTCACCGCCAGGCTCAAGGCACCCCATTAAAACGCAGCTGGCTGCTTGGGGCCAGGAGAACTCGTCCCAATGCTTGGGAGACTGCAGCACTTTCTACTTGAGCCAGCTGGCCAAAGCTTGGACCGAAGGAGGACAAGACCGATGGTAGCCACCATTCCAGGGAAAGAACCATCCCACTGGGACCCCCTTGCAGCCAAGCAGACTCCACACCGCCTCTCTGCCGCCCCCCCCCCCCAAGTCGGGGCCAGGGCGCAGCCTCACCTGGTTTCCTCCGCCGCCGCTTCTTGGAGCCGAAGAGCTTGACCCGGGAGAAGACGCTGAGCTTCTTCTTGTCGGCGCAGCTGGTCTTGGACTTGCTGGGGCTGCTGACACACTTGCAGGCGTTGGACTTCTCCCGCTCCCTCGCTTGTCTCTTCTGGCGGATCAGGGAGCTGGCGATGGCTGCCGCCATAGCCGCCACCCTGGAGGGTCACTCGGCGGGGCTGCGGGCGCTGCCTGCGGGGGAGGCCCCCAGCATGCTGCTCTCGCCGCCCTTCGGAATCTGGAAGAGGCTAGGCCGTCTTCCCCGCTCCCGGGGCCCGGCGAGGACGCGGGCG